AGCTAACCACAAGATATTTCAAGACGCTGGCTCAGAGAATTGATTCCACAGATTCTAGGGGCAGAAACAGGCTGAAATAAAGTAAAGATACAATAGAGCTCTGGATTTCACTGGCATCTATAAGTTTAGCATAAATCCCTTGCTCTTAACAGCCAAGTAAGGTAAATCAAATAGAACTGGTTAAGCTAAACAAGTTAACTGATTGTCTGGATCCAATGAAAATAAGTACAAAGCCAAAGTCTAATGCATGAAAAATTTTGTTTCTGGAATTTGGCAGTCACAAATAACAAGGTTTGAGCGTGGAGTGAGGTTGGGGGTAGGGGTAGTTAAGAAAATTATATGTATAGGAGGAGAAATAAATCATTAAAGAAGTAACAATGATGGGCTCAAATGTGCAATTAATTGAGTGAGAATGATAACCCCCTGGCAGGGACTTCTTACAAATTTAGTTTAGCATCTGCTATTCCTGTCAGAGAGGTTTTTTGACACTGTGGGGAGAAGAGGGATGGAAACAGGCATGGCAGAATATGCATAGGTATCAGCACTGCCCTAGATTTAAAACATTGCCCATTAAACACCCTGCAGGGTTCCCACATCAAAGTCTCTCCAGCAGGTGCACCAAAAACTGAACCTCTATTCTCAAGTACTTATCCATGTGCTTTCTCTACTGTAGATTGATAACTTATTAAAGCAGTGATTTGTAGCCTTTTAAAAATCACATTCTACCTTCTAATTACTGAAAAATTATACACTCATGTGAAAGTAGTCTAATTTTACTGAATATTTTTTTCAAGTAGTACAAAAGTAGTTAGCATACTGAGTTTGCTTAGTTCTCCTGAAAGTAACTTAGTTCACGGGAAAGTATGTGGGGTTCCCTATATGTAAATCATTGTATTCCAGCTTATAGCCAGTTTATAGTCTAAAGTCCCAGACTTGATTTCAGATATTTGCATTTTAAAATTCCTCTAGTTGTTGTGTTTAAAAATGAGGTTTATACAGCAGCACGTTCAACAGCTATTCATCAACTTTTGTAACTAGAAAACTCATGTTGATTTATATAAAGGAAACCAGTGATAGACATTTAACCACATATAAAACATCAGGGATTATGTTCATTGTTAAAGTAAAGGAAGTTGTAAACTAAGCAATAGTATTTTAATAATGCAGCAATAATTAGGTAATTGGTTAGCTAATTCACTATCAATTGTAATTTATTTGAAATGTCATGACATTTTTTCCTAATACTGTGATTATTTCAGTTAAAAAAAAAAGGCTTCATTTTGACCATCTATATCACAGCAAATATAAAATCACTGGGGAGTGATAAATCTCGCTATTCTTTTGAGTGGTTTTTCATTTTTAGTGAAAAGGCATTTAATGTATATCAACTGCTATTTTCCCTGATAATCACCCACCTTTTCTTTTTTATATCAATTATATTATTAGAGGTAAATCCTCCTTCCAAATTGATATCAATCTTGGAATTTATCAAAAAACTTCTACTTTGCCTTAAGGTTAATTGAGAAAGTGGATGTTTACACTTATTTCCTAATGTTAAAGCAAGGCTATGATTGCAGCAATAAACACAGCATCTCACAGTGCATTCATTTCTCATGAATTTATTTTTAGTGTAGATAGAGTTTCTAAGTTAGTATGATCATTAATAAAAACTTATGAAACGAGGTATGTTTTTTGGTGATCATTTTTTAGTGTTGAAAAATGTTTTCCAATTTATGGCATGGAATATTATTTATGTTTTCATATTTGGGTTGCCAGGAATCCTCCCAATCAGACATAATCATAAACAGTCACCTTGATTTCACAATTATCTCATTTGTTCTGAGCAGGGAAAGAGGCAGGAGTTAAAAATCCTTCACACGTTACTGTAGCCTAAAAGTGGTAGATTCCCTAAGGTAATTTGGAAGGAATTAATCTTAGTTCCCACCTCTGGAAAAGTATTAGATTGTTCTGACAAATGTTAATTTGTCTAAAATTCAGATCCTAAGGAATTTATCTTGTATCTTTCCCCAAACAAAAAATGATATTTGCATTAAACACACCTCACACATACTGCATAATATAATAAAATTTCTTATATTTGTAGAATATTTTATTTATGTTACTCATATTTTATACATATTTATAATACTTTACCTTATATTTCATATAATTTTAGTCATGAAGGAATGCCATAACAACATTCCAAAATTTTGTTCATTACCTGAATTCTTCTTGATGATATTCTTAGGAAATAAAAGGAATTAACATTTATTAACGGTTGCCTTCTGCTGATTCTGGTATGTGTATTTGATCATTTGCTGAGACGTAATATGTCTCAAGGTGATCACGATCACAGTCTTGAGTTTGTATCCTTCCTCACAATTGTACTTAATAGGTATGTGACTCTAATTATCTTGGTTGGTTTATGTATTATTTTTCTCCTTGGTGAAATCCTAGAATCTGTCTCTTAGAGCTGTGAAGATTAAATAAGTTAGTGTAAATGAAGCACTCAAAACACTGGTTGGCATGGGGTAGGTGCACATTTAATATTCAACATTGGAATTATCCTCAGTATATCTTATAACTGGATGCCCTTATCCTCATTTTATCATTGAGAAAATTTATGCTTAGAGATTTGAGGCAATTTACATAGAAACAACAGAGGAACTCATACATCAAAATAAATTTAGAACTTTTGGCGTTGAGCCATGTTATATCTTTTTTCATTCTGAGTACAGATTGATAGTTTTCCCTTTATATATTTATGGGGAAAAGAAAAACATTTGTGACCATTCGAATAAGTCTAGACACAATAGGTAATTTAAATCTGATAATTAGTTGCAGAAGGAATATACTGCAACACTTAATCTTGTCCCTCAGTTCCTATAGTTTGTGTGCATGTAACTGGAGAGAAGGTAAGTACGGAGGACTCTTTGTTTTAAAATTTATGCATGAAGCATAAAAATGTTAATTTTTTTAAATAAGAGAAGCACAGAGAAAAGCTTAAAACCATGACATTACAAACATCCTGTAGCCATGGTGAAGATCAAAGTTTGTAAAGGAAAATGAAATACACTACACAATTGTTCAGATCAGATATACTAGTGGGTCAATAGCGGGTTTTTAACAATCTAGGTGAAAAACATGGCTTTGACTGTTAAGAGTGCCTTTAAACTCTGCTGCCTCTACTGTAATATTCACTCTTGAATGTACACATGAAATCATTTTAGATTTGATTCCTGAAAATACACTGTCCATTCCACTTATTTTTGCAATAAACTTAGGTTCTACAATTGACACGTCTGGCTGTAGCTTCTATGCTATTTGCTCTAGACCCTACTGATAAATAACAGGAAAAGTTGAAAGAAAACAAAAATCAAAAACCCTGAGTTAAATAGACTTTAGCTTGTTTGTTTCATGTTCACTTAATGACTGCATAACTTTAGATGAATTATTGCTCTAAGGTAGCTATACTTTATTTAAAATTTTATTTGTACTTTAAAAAATTTAGCTAACAGTTATTGTTTCATATCCAAGATAATTCTCTGGAACAAATTGGCAATTACCAGTACCCCTATTTGATCATCAAGGAACCTGGGTTTCCAAAAAATGCTTGGTCAAACAGAATAGAGAATGGGCTTGGAATAACTAATAAATATAGCTAGAAGTTACTTAACACATAGTTCCAAATATTTTATGTATTCATTAGTTTATCTTTACATGAAGTCAGGTCTATTATATCCATTTTACAGATGAGGTGATTGAGGCATCATAAAGTTAAGGATGCTGTCAAGGTCATAGATAATAAATGTTGAAGATGGAAATTGAAGCTTAGACAATCTAATTCTATTTCCCACACAGGTAACCACTTGACCAAACTGTCTTCCTAAAGGCAATAAAAATATTAAAAACCTGTGGTTCCTGCCTTCGGGCTATTTAGTTTCTTACAAAAGTAGTGCAAGTTTAAATAGGCTTATCAGAGTAATGAATTCTGATTTCTCTGGAAGGAAATGAATATTGTATTTGGGATGTATATTATTTCAGTGCTCCTGAATTTGTCCAGTTTTTTCGTTCTTGCTTTATAGCGCCTGGAGGCAGAAAATTGTCTTAGCTTATAGCATTTGAGACTGAAGCCATTAGGTTTGTGATGTTGAAATAAAAACATCTGCTGTTTCTGCTCCAAAACCAACCGGGCGGTAGAAATATAACAGGTATAGGAATTTAAATGTCCATAGGACCAACACCATATTTTAAAGCCATAGACTCCAGACTTCTCTCTACCTTCTAATCTGCAAACTCCCTTGGAGTTAACTCCTTTCTCGCCAGATCCAGCAATGCCTACTGGGCATGCCCAGTTTTACAGTGAAAGCCTCGCACTGAGTTTCACTTTCTCCAGGTTTTACCGACCGCAAAGGGAAGGAGACAGAGGGAAGAGTTAAACAGGTAGAGAACTTGGTTCAGCTCAGGATGTCCACGACCAAGGCAGAGCACGGAAAGCTGGAGGATAACCGGAGGTTGCAGCAAAAAGCACCTTGTCAGACACCGGAGTCTGGTCTCCAAGTTGGCGCGTAAGCCTGGTGGGTCTCTCTTACATATTTTCTGGCACAGCTTAGGCAGATGGTAAAGATGATCTAGTGTGATCACTAAGGCCAAGGCCACAGTAAGGGGTGGGGCAGGAACACTGGATCTTGGAGAACGCTAGTGCCTTTGAGAGTCCCGTCTGTCCCTGAATTCCTCGAAGAGCTGCTAGGTTTTCAAGGGTTCCAAGCACGAGATCAAGGTGCACAATTAAAGCTAGGGTTCATCCACTCCTTGGCACCTTCTCTTTGGTTGCCAAGCCCTGTCCTGGCACCCTCTCAGGTACCCCCGCCCAATCACGACGGAACCCCGGAGAAGTGGAATCTCCACAAGCTTTCCGTGGGTCTAACAGGGGCCTGGGCATGCTCAGTAAGCTACGTGGTTCTCTTGGTCTCTCTCTCTCTCTCTCTCTCTCTCTCTCTCTCTCTCTCTCTCTCTCTCTCTCTCTGTGTGTGTGTGTCTCTGTCTCGGGTGGGGGAGGGAGGGTGGTGACAAGTTAGAAGCGCTTGCGGCAGGTCCCCGCCCCCAGGACCGGGCTCCCCCTGCAAAGGAAGATGCAAAGGTAGAAGCACCTCGCTCCGCAGCATCCAGACCTGGAGGGGCTGCTTCCGCCTGCCTAGCCCACCTATTCCCCAGCCAGAAGACGGGCTCGCCGCTCTCCATGGTACTGCGGAGATCTCAGCTCCGCCCTTCTCTTTCAGAAGGACAGCACCCGGCGTCACGTAACCCAGCCTTCTCGGGCTCCACCACCGCCTCTTCCTTCCCAGCTTTTTCCCTCTCCTCCTCCTCCTTCTTTTCCTCCTCCTCCTCCTCCTCCTCCTCCTCCTCCTCCTCCTCCTCCTGCTCCCCTCCGTTGCATGTTCTCCCCTCCCGCACTCCTGGAGATAGACGCTCAAGCCTGACGCCTCTGAAAAGGCAGCAGCAGTCGCCTTATCCGTAGACCTCAGGAAATTCTCTTTGACCGATGCATGCTTCAGGCTCTGGCTCGAGCTAAGGGGAATAACCGGGCAGGTAAAGAAGCTCATTTGGGTTGGGGGGAGGGGATGGGGCGAGGCAAGCTGGAGAAGGATATCTTTCTCTGTTGTAACTGAGCCAGGATTTGCCACAAATGCACAGGGAAGGATGGGTGGTGGGAGGGTGGAGGAGTGTAGATCTTGGTTGTTTGCATGAAGCCTTTTAAATGGTAAGAAGAAGATGAGATGGTGGGACTTGGGTAGTAACTTAGAGGCTAAATGCAGAGATTTATTACCAAAAGAAAGAAAAGAACAGGTCGGCTAGAAATCAAAGCACTAAAATAAATCTACATCTATATCTATCCTTTCCTTCCTCACCCATCCACACTATGCCTCTTCTTAATTTGTGCAGTAGACTTCAGGCTCCAAGAAACTGCACTAGTGTTACAGATGGGGCTTAGAGACTGGGCGGGAAAGCCAGGGAGAATTTTGGGCATACGTTCGTTATTGAGGTACTTTCCAAAAGCCAGAAGCAAAAAGACAGGTACTTCTCAAAGATTTCAGGTTCTTTATGAGGATATATATTGAAGGGTGCATGGAAAGGGGTGTGTGTGTGTGTGTGTGTGTGTGAGAGAGAGAGAGAGAGAGAGAGAGAGAGAGAGAGAGAGAAATTATAAACATATTAAAATAAATGCAACTGCAGCTGATGAGCATACTGTATTGATTCTTCCAGTGAGTTGGAAATGAATTTGATTCTAGAAACGAAAGAAAAGATTAATGAGGCTGTTAGTCAGCTTTTGAATTAGAGCGCTTCTTGTTTTGGCTGCAGTAAGATTGTTTTTCAGTTCCTTTTATTTCAATCCTCTAATTTGTGAACTCATCAGGTCTTTCCGGCACCTAGAGAGAATCCTCTTTCTCCATATAAATACAGATGCTCTCTCACACACAATGAGCTTCCTCTAAGAACCGGGAGAGCCAGTTGACCTCCCTTGTGGTAGGAATATACATCTATTCCTCTAGCACAACCTCCCTTCTCCTCCATTCCTTAAAAAAAAAAAAAATGTCAAGGTTTGTATTAGTGGAGGAGAGCAGGAGAGGAAAAAGGTTATGTGTTTTACACAAAATCAATTAATAAAATAATCAGCTCCAACAGATTCTCTTTCTCTCTTACACACACACACACACACACACATACACACACTACACACACACACACACACACACAAACGGCTTTCTAATACAAGTTTGAGGATGGATTCAAAGTACTACTTTTGACTGTGACGTTCTAGGTTTATTTTGCAAATTACTGAAAATTTAGCAAATTCTTGACTCCATTTTAAAAAATGAAAGTATATTGAATAATATGCTATTATTAATGATTTTTTAAGAGCATCTTTCTTTGGGCTTGGCACAGGAGTAGAAAAGATGTGACTGGTAATTGCTGATGATGTGGAATGTATCAGCCATAATAAATCAACTACTGAGATTTTTACTTCTTTTTGCTCGTTAGCAGTGTGTGTGTGTGCATGTGTGTCTGTTGAAAGAGAGAGAACCAGTCATCTATTTCATCTGGGGAGGAACTTGAAGTGGGATCCCCTAGCTTGGTGGCTCTCAGCTGACACCTGTAGGGACTGTTCTGAACTGAAGAGAAATGTTCTTAGCTCTCTCCATGGTGGAGCAGCAGCACAATGCGGTGCCATAAATTACTGCTAGTTTCAGCTTGTAGGGAAAAAAAGTGTTAATTGGATAGTGAGCTTCTGTGTCCAAGCAATAAATTTGGTGTGTGTGTGTGTGTGTGTATGTGTGTATATGTGTTCCAGTGGGGATGGGGGAAAGTGGAAAAATAGTGAGAAGTGGTGAAGAAAAAAATATGTTTTTTATATGACCAGATGATATATTTGTGTTATTTTCAAAATGTAGGAATAATTTATTTTGCACCAAAAAAAGACAGAAAAAAAATTAGTATGTGTGCTTTATGTACCATTTCAAGAAGCTGTTAGATTAGAGTTGAATAAAGAGAAGAAATTTAATAGCATGTTGAGTGATTCAAAGGTATGGTCTTAAATCCTAACATCCTGGAGCCATAGTAACTGAGGTGACATACATGCCAACTGCTGTTCTGACCACACCAATCCTAGGGCTGACAGCCAGATAACGACTTGAGGAGGAGTTAGATCACTACACTGTTAGGCAAAATATTAAATAACCATCTTTAGAGTAAAAATAATACAACATTTGACTCATAAATATTGCTAATAGTATATATCTGGCTCCAATTAGATATTTTCTCCTAAAACAGATCATTTCTTTAATAAAAAGAAAGAATATGTTTGTTTGAAATCTTAAAAGAGACTCCCAAGAAATCATCAATATTCCTACTCTGAGAGAAATAAAATGGTAGGAATGCTATACAAATCTAAGTTGGCAGCTTCCTGCCAACAATTTGATCTACTTTGTCTATAGTAAAATTTGCTATTTAATGAAATCTGAATAGGTTGTTTTAATTGTCCAGGTAACTAGCACAGAGTAAAAGAAGAAATCCTTAAAAAGGCCTTTTTTCACTTCTAATACATTTTAAGAATTATATTTTCTTTAAAAATAAAAAGATAACCATAATCACCTCTTTTTAAAACATGAGTTAGCTAATAACAGTTATAATAAACCACAAGGATATAATTGTTGTAAGACTGTGATATTAGCTATTGGGAAACACCAGGCCTTACTTGTAGGTCAGGACAAAAAAAACCCCCTCTATCCAATAAGGTTAATTATTTGGCTTATATACTTGCTTTCTGAGTTGAATGATTATTTGCATGATATTGTAATTGACCTTAGATCTTAATTTTAATTTTCTACAGATTTCTGGGTCCTTATAAAAGGACCATATAAAACCAAAATGCATCGCCATCACACAACCAATTGATATGCTGGCATCTTAGCTTGGCCTTGCTGAGGCGGAGGAAAAAGAAGAGGAGCTGTTGTAATTTCCACATCTAACAGCTTCTGGCTGTTTCACAACTTGTGGGTTTGAGGCCTGTTCTTGGGGAGGTTTAAAAGAGAAGTGCAATCTAGCCTGGCAGGCCATGCACAAGGAATTTGGCTTAGGCTGCAGTGGTGCTGGAAGTCCTTGATATGACAGAAGAAGCAGGTCTTTGAAGCTACTTTGGGGTTAATAAGTGGTGCCCTCAAGAGGCAAAGAATCCCCCTCTCCGTTCTGGTTTGGGACACTGCATCTGGAAGGGAAACACTGAGGCAGTCACAAGCATCCAAGGATATTGGTTCATTGCCTGCTTCTTGCGATTCCTTGAGAAAGGTGGGTGCTTCTCATTGACTGTAACTGCTTCCCTTTTGTCTGGTACCACACTGGAGGTACCTGACATTTGGAGGAGTGAAGTATCTGTCAACACCATAGATGCCCTTAATCTAGATCACCTGCTGCAAATGGATCAGTGATTTTCCTTGATCTTCTGTTGACGCTTTTTTCAGAACGTTGCCTCCAAAGTGTATCCTCCCTTTGGTCTGGAAGTTCTGTTGCTGCCCTGTACCACTGGGGTCTACGTTTTCCAGTCGGAAGGGGACTATAAGGAGAAAGGTAAGGGTTGTTGGAAGAGGAGAAGAAGAAAAAAAAGAGCTAGTGGAGGGCGCAACGCTCCCACTCCGGCCTATACCCTTGCCCTACTTGCCCTTGGGACCCTTATTTCTTCATCACGGTGTCCAGGACCATTTTGACCCTGTCGGCCCCGGCACCCCCCCGCCGCACCCCAGCCCCGAGCATGGGGACGGCGCTTCTCCAGCGCGGGGGTTGCTTTCTGCTATGCCTCTCGCTGCTGCTCCTGGGCTGCTGGGCAGAGTTGGGCAGCGGGCTGGAGTTCCCGGGCGCTGAGGGCCAGTGGACGCGCTTCCCCAAGTGGAATGCCTGCTGCGAGAGCGAGATGAGCTTCCAGCTCAAGACGCGCAGCGCCCGCGGCCTGGTCCTCTACTTCGACGACGAGGGCTTCTGCGACTTTCTGGAGTTGATCCTCACCCGTGGTGGCCGCCTGCAGCTCAGCTTCTCCATTTTCTGTGCCGAGCCTGCCACGCTACTGGCCGACACTCCGGTCAACGACGGCGCCTGGCACAACGTGCGCATCCGTCGCCAATTCCGAAACACCACGCTCTTCATCGACCAGGTGGAGGCAAAGTGGGTGGAAGTGAAGTCCAAGCGCAGGGACATGACGGTGTTCAGTGGCCTCTTCGTGGGTGGACTGCCCCCGGAACTGCGGGCCGCGGCACTCAAGCTCACATTGGCTTCGGTGAGGGAGCGCGAGCCCTTCAAAGGGTGGATTCGCGACGTGAGGGTCAATTCCTCCCAGGCCCTGCCAGTGGACAGTGGGGAGGTGAAGCTGGACGATGAACCGCCCAACAGCGGCGGTGGGAGCCCGTGCGAGGCTGGCGAGGAGGGCGAGGGCGGGGTGTGCCTCAATGGAGGCGTGTGCTCCGTGGTGGACGACCAGGCGGTGTGCGACTGCTCGAGGACCGGCTTCCGTGGCAAGGACTGCAGCCAAGGTAAGGCCCAATGGCGACCCCCAGAAGCTGTGCTCATGTCAGGGCGCGGGGAGGTAGGGTAAGGCAGGTGGGACCGGGCTGGTGCATGGGGCCTTCCTTCTCTGGACCACAAGTGGCAGTTCGCTTTGAGGTGAAGGCCTGATTCTGGAGGCCACTCTGCCTTACCAAGTCCCACAGCACTTTCCTTCACACCCTCTTAGTGGTTGAGCAGTCTCCCTCTGCCAGGTTCAGTTGCCCTCTGGGAGTCCTTTGGATCAACCCCACTTCCATCCAAGAGGCAGGTAGAATGAGCTCTGTTTTCATTCCTGGATTGCTTTGGCTAGCTGGTCTCTTTACTCATAGGACCATTGCCTACCTGAATGACCAACCAGTGTTTGTCCCTTCTACAACCACTAAATCCATAATACACAAACTTTGCCGGTAAGATGCAGACATGCATCCAAAAGACTGAGAAATGGTGAAAAACAAAGTGCAGGAGAGATTCCCCAGGGCCATGGTTGAGAATGTCCACGTGGATATTGTGGTAAAGCACAAGAGAGACAGAGTTCACAGGGCAGTGCCCCCCTGCCTTTTCAAATAGAGCGTAAAGATCAGCTCTTGGTTGTGGAAAAAGAGGAGGGGATGTGAAGATCTGCTTTACTAGCAGGAGGAGGGTTTTTGGCAATAATATTGGTTTCCATGGTTATCTCCAAGTCCAACATTTGTCATATTTAAGTCAAATTTTGTGATTTTCGTGGTTTCCTGAAGTGTGAGACAGGTCAGCTAATGTTTAGAAATGTTAGAGATTAAATAACATATTTCTTGATTAACAAATGCCTTAGGAAGATAATAGAGAAATTTAGATGTAGCTGGATTGGGAAGCTTCTGCAGGCTAATAAACAGAGGATGCATGTGAGCAATTGCAAGAGATTTTCTAAGGATATTCAGCTAATGACATTTATCTGAGTATCGGAAGCCAAGTTGTAATTTCTGTGGTTCTTGGGGCTTGAAACAGTATGGAATTAAACAACAAAATCATACCTAAGTGTTTTTTTTTTCTTTTTCCACCCCTTTACAAATAAAATTTAGTTTTCTGGCTGTTTCTTCCATGTTGTTACATGACAATGACCAAGGAAAATATTCAAGATACAGACAGTGAAACCTATGAACAGAGTGAGTGAGTGATGTGAAAGGATAAAACATGGATGTATCAGTGGCTAAGCCAGAGAGAGGATGTCAGGATTTAAAGTAGATGGCTAGCTTATGGGTCAAATCAAGGCAATCAACACATGGATAAATGGCATTTGTGGCTGAAATGGGGGGAAAGGTGAATTATTAAATCTGATTTTGAAAGCTCTGGGGACAAAAGCTTTATGTGTGCTTGTTTTATTGGGTAATGTCTTTGTTTTTCTTTTTCTTTTTTCTTTTTTTGCTGACTCTGCTAAGGGGAACTAGCCTCTATAAATCTTATTGAACTTGGCAGTTCTCTCACTTGACTTTAAGGGAAACGAAGACTTGATAAAATTTGCAATTGTTTAAACAGCAAAGGGAGTTAGTTAGAAATAAAAACAGCTTGTCTTTAGGAGTGTTCTGTAGTCTGGAGGAGATGGGTGAGGGTCAGTAAAGGATTATTTTATTGTGCTCTGTCTTCATGTGGGTTTTTGTTTTAGGTATATTTTGGCGTAAGTAATTACAGATGACTGTGTATTCAGTGGCCCATACTGCACTTTAGCTTTGCCAGTAAATTTCCATGGATTTAAGATCAGACTTTAGAGTTATGTTTTACAAAAATAAAACAGAACATTTTTTCTTCTGCCAAATCTAACTTAATTATAAATCATGAATAAGATAGATTTGCTATGATGATTTTAGTAGTATTATTTGAAGTTTGCACACTTTTGCACTGATTAATAAAAACAAAAATGAATATTATTTTATGCAAAAATATTGCTCTAAGTATCCTAATGCCACTTTAAATGATAAAGAAGGCCATTTACTGAAATATAACTTCCTTTCTTAAATTAGGAAACAGATATGACACAATGACAGCTTGTATTGTGTGGGAGGGTGTTTTAAATGAAATTTTTTAATTTTTCTATGCATTTTAATGTAGGGATCCAGGGATCATGCATAATCAGGAACAGTTAAGAGTAGGAAAAGCATGGAAAAAAAAGTAATGTTAAAGAGAAGCAGAATTAGATGTATTTGAAATGCATTTTATTTTGGAAAATGATAGTTCTTTCTATAAGATGAATAATTTGGAATTACCCAGATACACACTGGAACAATATAGTACCTGATACATAAGCAACCCAGGAGAGCAAATCCATTAGGATTGTTCTGGAGCATTGATTCGTTTGAAAATTTGATCTGAAAACAGAGTACAAAGATCACCACTAGTCTTAGAAGGAAAACAAAAGACTGGATTTGTTTGATTTTCACAGAAATGGAAGATGGAGTGATAAAGGCATAGTCTGTCTTCCCAGAAGGATTGACTCCATTTTGCTCATTTTCCCTGTTTCATGTGTGTCAAGTGACTATTGAATAATTAATTGACAGTGGATGCCTCTCCTAACACCAATCATGTATTGACGGCTAGGGATAGATTATTTCTATTCAATTGAAGTATAAACAACGCCCTGCATCTAGCCAGTGTTTACACTGATTGTGTCACATTTTTAAAAAAACTAACTTACAAAAACAAATATGCATTCATTAAAGAGAATTTAGAAAAAAATAGACCATCAAATATTAAAAACAAAATTTGCATTACCTGTCTCAACTACAATTCCTTTTTAAACTTAGTAACAATGTGTATATTTTAGCTGCTCTCCAATTTCAAATACAATAAGAACTGCTAAAAAGACAATAAGAATTTGATAAGGATGCTCTGTGTTTCTTCTCACCTTGACTTACAGAGCCTTGAAACAACTTGTGCACCCAGGGGTTTCCAGATTGTTTTTATTGAATGAGTTCAGTTTCATTCTTGCTCTGTTTATTTGGGCCTAGCAAATTTTACTTATTTATCTATATATGCACTGATGGAGAGAAAACATGGGCATATGTGTCATAACCAGGTCTGTGTCAGAGTCTGGATGAGAGCATAAACATTCTTATTCTCAAGCCGACATCATCATATCTGCTGAATAAGTTCCTTCAGGTTGACATCTTTTTCAGGTTCAGGTGTTATTCAAGAGAAAAACAATACATATAAAAATGGTTGTAGGAACAGAACCAATTTATATATCACTTATGTTCTTTGACCCTGAGAATCAGCCTCAGAACTCAACTGTCCAAAAATGTCATCTTTCCTGAGTGATGGATGCTTATCGGATACAGAGCTTTTTCAGTGAATCATACTCATCTAAGTGCTCCTATACCATTATTATTTAATAAGTTTCTACTTAAGAGTACTAATAGTTTCCTAGTAGTTTGAAAGAATTAGTGAATTCCATGGCCATCCCTCTTAAAAATAAGAAAAAAAGGATGACCAATAAGAAATTAAGCTATGCTTCTTATGATCTCTAGCTACAAGTCCCATGTGCTTTAGAGTCACAGATATTTAAATTTCATACTAGATTGTGAGCATCACTTTCTCTATTTAAATGGTCATAAGCACACATGATTGCTTAATATTACATGGCAGTGTGCTAAATGTCATTTAATAAAGTCCTTTTTATATGACTGTGACCAGATCCATCAACCATTGTCACTCATGCATTCATTTATTCATTTCTTTATTCAACACATATTGATTGAGTGTTTTGTATGAGCCATAGTACTAGGTTCGGGTAATAGCGAGTAAATTAAGAAATAGTTCCTAACTTTATAGATTAAAGAGTCTAGTGGGGAGAAGCATTTTTTTTGAGAGAGAGAGAAAGAGAAAGAGAAAGAATTTTTTATATTTATTTTTTAGTTTTCGGTGGACACAACATCTTTATTTTATTTTTATGTGGTGCTGCGGATCGAACCCAGCGCCCTGTGCATGCCAGGCAAGCGCGCTACTGCTTGAGCCACATCCCCAGCTCCAGGAGGAGCATTAAGTTAAAAAAATAAATGCAAATTTAAAATGATGGTATGCATTTTGAAGAATTGCTGCACGGTAGTAAGAGAATTTAAAATAGTGTGCAGTGACCTAATACAAAATGGTTTTTTGGAGGTGTGATTATTCAGCTTAAATCTGAAGTATGAGAAGTATTTGACCAGGTAAAGGTGAAGGAATATTAACTAGGTCAAGTCAGTGATATAGGAGATAGTACATCATGTTCATGCCACTGGGAGAAGGCCCCCGAGTATGAAGAGCTGATTCCATGCTCAAGAGAGGAGTGGGAGCAGGCCACACAGGGTATTTTGGACCATGTCAAGGATTTTGTCTTTATCATACAAATGATGGAAAAGGAATGCAGAGTGTAGTGTGAAATCTGGGGATGAGGGTGGCATTATCAAATTCATGTTTTAGTAATGGCACTCTGGCTACAGTGTAGAAAACAGATTGAAAGGGGGCCAGAGAAAAAGAGAAAACATTATTTTCTATTTGTCAGTCAACAACATTTGTTAAGCTCCCACCCACTGTCAACTGTAGATGGAATTAGAGGGGAAAGTAGAGGGAAAATAGAATAGTTTTTTTTAAAAAGAATCTTAAAAGGGAATACTTGTAATCAGGATTCTTGTTTTAAGGAATTTAGAATCTTCATGAGCTAGATAAGGTAAAGATATCTAAGGTCATTCATTGTTTGGGACATTTGTTTGTACCTGTTAAAAGCATTAGCTGAACTTTTTATGTGGAATGCCACGTGGTTTCTCTTGTGTGTAATTTTAGAGTCTGAAGGCTTCTAGAATCCAGTGGCAATACCATATTTTATTCTACTCCTTCATACAGTAAATTATACTCAATCTGTCATTCTTTTAATAACGTTGTTGTCTGTGTGATGTAGCATTTTAAACTACTACAACAATAAAAAAATAGATAGGTTTGCACAATCTTTGTAATTTTTGTGCTTATAATCTTTTATTTTTGGTTT